AAAAGTCAAAAATATTTTTTTTTCTCAAAACTATTGGTCTTTTTTTTATAGTGCAAAAAATAAAAAACACACAGGCGATCAAATACCACCAAAAGAAAGCTCAATTTGTGGGAAAGAAAGGACGTAAATTTATGTACAGCATTGTATGACCGCACAATTGTCAAAGTAACAGAGCGCTGTAACACAAAAAATGGCCTGGTCAGGAAGGGGGGTAAATCCTCTGGAGGGCAAGTGGTTAATGTTCATTGGGGAAAAAAATTATATGAATTTCATTCAGTGCAATTACCAGTTAAAGTACCGCAGTGCTGAATAGCAGAAAATGAACTGGTCATGAAGTTGGTAAACTCTTCTGGAGCTGAAGTGGTTACTGTATCCACACTGAAAAAAAATAGTTTTGTCTGTAGTTCTACTATAAGACAACTTCAATACATTTTTCACATATGAGTTTTAGAATGTAATCTGTCAAGGTCAGTGCTCTCCTAACCCAATCAATAATAATAATAATAAATAATAATAATAATTATTATTATTTTTTTTTATTATTATTATTATTATTATTATAAAAATGTGTAAATCTTGGGTAAAGGTTGAGTAAATTTGTGGTGTAAACATTGATAAATTGACTCCAAAGTACTGAAGTCAGTATAACAACTCGGCAGCTAGCAGTTTGCAAAGAAGAGGCTAATAATGGCGACCTTCTCCCATGTTTTTCATTAGTCGTGTGGAAGTTGTTGGGGAATTAGTCTGACTTAAAGCTGAACTCCAGGCAAATGTAAAAAATACACAAATCAATGCAGTTCTGTATTGATTTTTGTTTTAATGCAAGTAATGCAAAGGTTTGAGGTGGTGGGAAAATGTGCACAAAAAGCCAGGTAGGTGTGTTGCAAGGAGCATGCTGACAGGAGGAGAGAGCAGAGTGACACATAGGTAAGCTTATCAGTGTGCCGCATATCCTTACATTATCCAGTGTCCGGGCAAGGTGGGAGGAGATCTCTAAATAAAAGTAGCAGAGAAATATCAGGCCCCTCCCCTGCCAGGCAGGATTGTGCTGTGTGGCAGTGCTCTTTAATCTCAGGACTGGATGGACAGAAATGTAAATCCTTTTGGCAGGTTCACAGCTGTCATATAAGTATTTCATATGTGGATTTAGCTGTTTTCCCGGAGTTCAGTTTTTATTTGCTTGCTTAGGAACTACATGTGTCCAGTGCTCAGATTGTGCTGATTTGCAAGTTGGCTGTCTGATGCTGATCATACATGTCCCAATCTAATTTTAAAATCTCTGTACAATCTTTTGGATTTACCATAATTATATAATATGAAAACCGACCAAAAAAATCCATTCTATTTTCATCCTGTCAGGTAGGCCCTTGTACAACATAGTTGTTCATTAGTCTAAGTCTAGGTTCACACCTATGCAGGTTGTGTTTGAGCCGTTTCTGCACTGCATTTTTGAAGCATTTTTGCCACATTTTTGATGTGTTTTGCATAGTGGTTTATTTACTAAAGTTGGAGAGTGCAAAATCAGGTGCAGCTCTGCATAGAAACCAATCAGCTTCCAGGTTTTATTGTCAAAGTTTAATTGAACAAGTTGAAGTTAGAAGTTGATTGGCTACCATGCACAGCTGCACCAGATTCTGAGTGCACAAGTTTTAGTACATCCCCCCCAGTGTGTGGTCAGCTTTTGGCTGTTGCCAATGAAAGATTGGGAGTTATTCACTAAAATTGGAGAGTGAAAAATCTGGTGCAGCTCTGCATAGAAACCAATCAGCTTCCAGGTTTTATTGTCAAAGCTTAACCTCCCTAGCGGTATTCCCGAGTGTAGCTCGGGGTAAAATGTCAGTGCCAAAAGCGGTAACCCCGAGCTACACTCGGGCTTACCATGCAGCGCTGCATAGGGAGTCCCTGCAGAGCTTACCTTGTCCTTCGCTCCGCGCGATGTGTCCCCTGCAGCGTCTCCGGCCATCTCCTCTGGCCGATGCCGGCATCCGGCTTCTGTGTTCCAGTCCCTGTGACGTCGGGACGTACAGGCGCCGTCGGAGGCGGGAAATTTGAAAATTTTAAAAAATGTCATTTTTTTCCAAACAAATTTTACATAGTAAAACATTGCTGTTTCAAACCATTTCACATACATTTTGTCCCGAGTGCTTTGTCCTGTGCACTGCCTGCATTTTGTCTGTTCTTTCTGCCTGGAAACTGAGAAATGTCCATGGCGGCCAAAAAGTGTCCCTTTAGGTCAAAAGTGGTTTTAGACCAGCTAGAGAACAGCAATAGTAAATCAGAACCACTTGCAGAATTGAGTGATAATGATTCGTGGGGAAATTCATCATCAGACACTGAAAACGATTTTGCGACTTTGCTCAGCGATGTGCGAACTTGGCGCTATATTTCAAATTTCAGTGTTTTTGGTTTGATTATATTATTGAATTACATTTATTATTATTATATTATTATGTTTTATGATTATTTATTAAATTATAATTTATGATTTCGTGTTTCAAATTTTATCAGACCCGGGATGTTTACTAGACTCTTGTTCGGACAGATTTCAGTGAGTTATTCCTAAAAATTACAGCCTACAATAAAAAAACTACATATTTCCATGCAAAATAATGGTACCGCTTTCAGCACCAAAAATATGAAATAATCAGACCACTAGGGAGGTTAATTGAACAAACTGAGGTTAGAAGTTGATTGCCTACCATGCACAGCCGCACCAGATTGTGAGTGCTCCAGTTTTAGCAAATCTCCCCCAGTGATGGAGGCACATTGTGGACATTTAGCATGTGTTGTTTCTGTGTCATTGCAGGCTTCCTGGAACTTTATCCCACTGTATTTCCTGGTGGTCCGGATATTCATATATCTTTCATGTTTAAAACTGACCAACTGAGGGGGCTTCTGCTCTTCATGTATGACAAGGACGGGCTGGACTATATCATGGTAATTATGACCTGATTTGCTTAGGAGCATAGGGATACATGCAAGATAATTTATTGCAGCTGATCAGACTTTTCTGATTTCTCTACAATAAAGTGAACTATAATTGATTCCCCTTTAGAGAATTCAAAAACCGAATTGCCCAGACCATATTCTTACAGGTGGATAAACTAGTAGACAAATGTAACCACATCTCTTTCTGTGAATACAAATGTCTTGCCACCCACTTTAGGTCTTGTACATGTAAGTGTACGCCCGTGTAAGAGCCATATGTGCCTGCACAGGGATGTGCGGGTGTTCTGGGAATCTCTATGCAGGCAGTCTCATTCCTGTCATTTGCACAGACACAGCTGCTGCTCCCAATTTGACAGCCATGCGGGTGCATGTCCCCAAACCCAGACAGTCTGCAGTCAGGAACACACATCCGCATCCTTTTTGATGTCAAATTAGAAGCAACGGCTGTGTTCATGAAGCCGCTGCGTCCCAATAGACTTCAATGAGACTGGCTGCACGGGGGTGCACTGAACCCCTGTGCATTCCCGTGCGGCAAACAAAACCCTTGCATGCACATACATTTAAAGAGTAACTCCACTTTTGCTGAGAAAAAAACATTCCCCTCTGTGTGATCTATGTACATTGCAGAGATTTAAACAAAGTTTGTTGCAGATTCCTACCTTTTGTTATTCTGAAGAAATAGCTGTTTGTCTGTGGCTATGTGAAAAGTAAATCTAGTGGGCGTGGTGTTATAATTATAAAATTAGCTGCTACACATGCATGATTCTAATGAGGAAGGCTACAAGGTCTGCATCCCTTTAGTTTTGATTTTCTTTGGGAGAATCTCACCAAAAATTACATTTTTGTTGCAGGGAGATGCTCAAAATCTGATTTGTATCTTAGTGCAGGCTTCTGGGAAAATCAATAGGCCAATCGTATGTAGCCCCTCTGGCACCAACAACCATGCCACATTCAAAGTCACTTAAGTTCCTTTTCTTCCCCATTCTGATGCTCGGTTTAAAATTCAGCAAGTCATCTTCACCACGTCTACATGCCCAAATGCATTGTTGCTGCCATGTGATTGACTGATTAGCAATTTGTGTTACTAAGCAATTGAACAGGTGTACCTAATAAAGTGACCGGTGAGTTTGTATATTCTTATTAAAAATATAAGTTTTATATGTTTATATTTTCATGTTGAACATAGTAAATATATATACAGAAAACAATATTTTTTTTATTATTTCAGGCTGAATTAAACAATGGGATCGTAACCTTACAATTTAAAACAAAGTTGTCTCTGACACGAGTGAACTTGTGGGCTGGACTCTCTTATTGCACTGGCCAATGGAACGCAATGCACATAAAAAGAGAGGGCTCTGTCTTTTCTGTCCAGCTCAATGCCTTGGTAGAGCGGGTCATTGACTCTGCAGCATCACAGATTGAAGCCATCTCTGCAGTGTATGTTGGAGGAGTCCCAGGGACGGTGTGGAGCTCCTTTCCAGAACTTTATAGTCAACTAGGTAAGCAGATCAATATCAAAAGCTGTTCCACAACCAGTAGCCTGGAAGCACACCTAAAGCAAGTCTTAATTTTGTGACTAAAATCAGGAAAAACAATTATACCTAGCTTACCCTTCAACGCCACTTACAGTTAGCGGCATATTTACCGTGAGGCAAACAAGTGGCAGGGATGGGGACCTGATGAGGAGGCTGAGCGCTGCTGGATGGCCGATTGCTTCTTGTGCAGCTTAGTTCTTTTAATTGGGTGATCAGGCATTGGCAGCAGTGGTAGAGGGTGATGGTGGTATTCATCACTGCTAGTAGGGGTCACCCAATTCTAGCGTTGCTTAGGGCAGCACAAGAAATCAATACACCACTTCTTATAGTAGGTCATCCCCTTTGACAGCTTGTCTTCTTATTTCAAATTTAAATTGGAAACCACAAACCAAAAATGCTATTTAATTATTTTTTTCAATATTCAAAGCAAATACCCCCATCCAGCCATGTCTCCATGCTTTATTTTGTTGAGAAATCACGTTGAAAAACACTCCTTAGCATTTCTAGCTGCAGCCAGGGGCGGACTGACAACTCATGGGGCCCCCGGGTAATAGGGGATCATGGGGCCCCTGTGTCCTTGCCCAAACTCAAAAAAGCCTATGAAAAAGGTACCAGGGGCATCTCATGGGGCCCCCTACTGATCCCGGGCCCTCGGGCAGTGCCAGAGTTTCCAAATGGTCAGTCCGCCCCTGGCTGCAGCCATCTTGAGTAATGGCAGATAAGTCATGTAAACTTATACTTCCTGGAATCCATCTGCCCTTAGATCAGGAACACAGGCAGGAAAGTGTGATAAGCTGAGAAAGCAACTCCTTCCACGTGAAAGAAAAAATGCCATGAAGACTCTTGGCGTGTATGACATCATTTTAGCCTACTCAAGAATTCAGAAAGCAACTGAAGAAATGTAAAAAAAGAGTTTAAACCAAGTAATAAAACATACTATCTATTTACTAATGCTAGCAGCATACAGATTATGATAATCAGTGTTGATTAGAGAGTTCAGTTCTCCTTTAAATTGTACCTGTGCTAGTTTAATGTTTCCTATAAGCAGAGGATGTGATGAACACACATTATTAGTTATTGCAGCAGCTCAGCAACATACACATACAGAATTCTTCTACGGGGCACAATCAGTGGCAGTGCACAATGTACACTTATCTTTATTTATTTCAATCATTGGAGTTTGTTATAGGCCTCCCAGTGTTACTGAGGAGGTGGAGATTCAGCTCCTTGCACAGACAGAAAGGGCTGCAAGGGCTGGCACATTGATAATAATGGGGGGTTTTAACTACCTGGAAATTGACTGGAGTAATGACACTGCAGGAACAGTTAAATGGCAAACATTTAGAAACCTACTACAGCACAATTTTATGGTACAGTTCATAGAGGCCCCAACTAGGAATGATGCTCTGCTGGACCTGGTAACCTCAAACCATACAGAGCTTACTACTAATGTTCATATAAAAGAACATCTGGGTAGCAGTGACCATAACATGATTTCATTTATTGTTAGCTGTAAACAAGCAGCACATACTGCAAACATAAAAATACTTAAAGTGTTACTAAACCCACAACAGTAAAATCAATCTGTATATGCAGTAAAGCATGGCTTGTTATTCTCACTGTGGAACCTAAGGGTTAATCCTCTGCATTGTGTAAAAAGGCTGTTTGATCCTGACTTCTCTGATCCTCCCCTTCTTCCAGTGTCCCCTTCTTATATTCTGATAAGACATGTGGAGTCACTCTACACATGCTCAGTTTGATGTGTATTGCTAGAGAGGTTTTTTTTTCCTTGGGAGAGAGCATTTGATTAGCACAGGGCCAATCAGAATGAAAACTCCTCCTACAAGCTTGCTTGGCCAGACACTGATAGAAGTCACAAGACTGCTCTAACTGCTGATGAGAAAAGGTATTTAGCAGTTTATATTTACTAAAACAATTGCATTTCCATGTTCTGTGTACTGTGGAAGACCAGATATAGTGAATGCAGGGTCCCGGGTTTGGTAACACTTTAAAAGAGCAAATTTTTCAAACCTGAGGGCTGCTCTCCAAGACTTAGGCTGGGAGGGAATATTGGCATAGAAGAACACAGAACAGAAAAGAGATTTCTTCAAAACCACTGTGAACATACTGCAAAATATATTCCAATGGGCAACAAGTTTAAAAGTCTAAAAATAAAGCTATGTGGCTCACGGCCAAAGTTTCAAAAGCTGTAAATGATAAGAAAAGAGCTTTTAAAAAATATAAAAATGAAGAAACACTATCATAATTTAATTGTTACCAGGAATATAGCAGAATACAGTATCTAAAAAGGAAATCTAGACTACAAAAATTCAAAACAAAGGACAGATTGCAAAAGAGAGTAATACAAACCCAAAGAAATTCTTCAAATATATTAAAGTGGTAGTAAACCGCAGCTGGCTAAAAAACAATTCCTTGGAAGGTAATGTCATAATGTGCTAGCATCGCAGACTAGCACATTATGCAGGACTTCCCTTAAAACAAAGCTCTCCAGAGGTGCGTTGTCCCCGCTGCAGAGGCTTCCATCTTCACTCGGTCTTCCTTCCACGTTCGCGAGTCCTGGCCGTTTGACTGGCCGAGCCGCACTGACGTCATTTCCCGCGCATTCGTGGGGGAGTCTCGGAACACGGGTATGCCGGCATGGGTATGCCGTTCCTTCAGAGCGCATGCACCAATGGACAAAAAGAGCGAATATCTCCTAAACTGTGCACGTTTAGGAGATATTAATTTTACTTATAGGTAAGCTTTATTGTAAGATAAAAAAGTGGGATTACTTCCACTTTAATTGTAAAAAGGTCCGGTCCAAGCATGTAGGCCCCTTACAATATAATCCAGAGTGGGTGACTGGGGACAAAAAGAAGGCACATTTATTAAATACCTTCTTCAGCTCTGTGTAAACAAAGGGGCATGGCAGAGCTCTTGTCCATAATGGGTATGATATTGACACAGCTGCAATAATTCACAATGGTTTAGAATTTATATGATCCAGAAATATTTTGACAGAATTAAGGATAATAAAGCACCTCGACTGGGTGGCATACACCTGCGGATCCTAAAAGAAACCCTTGTTTCTAATTTTTAGAGACTCTTTAATGACTGGCATAGTAACACTGGATTGGCGTAAGGTGCCTATATTTAAAAAGGGTCGAAGTTTTTACCAAGCAACCATAGAACTGTTAGTTTAACTTCTATAGTTGGGAAGATACTGGAGAGTTTAATAAAGGATCACATAGATGGGTTTTTGCTAGAAAAAAATATTTAAGCATGAATTCATAAAAAACAATTTGCCAGACAAATCTAATTTCTGTTTATGAGGAGGTGAGCAAAACCTTGGACAGAGGGGTGGCGGTGGACGTGGTATACTTGGACAGAGGGGTGGCGGTGGACGTGGTATACTTGGACAGAGGGGTGGCGGTGGACGTGGTATACTTGGACAGAGGGGTGGCGGTGGACGTGGTATACTTGGACAGAGGGGTGGCGGTGGACGTGGTATACTTGGATTTTGCAAAAGCATTTGACACAGTTCCCCACACACGGCTAACGTGTAAGGTAAAGTCTACAGGCTTGGAACAATCCGTATATAAATGAAGAAAAAAACTGGCGAAAAGACCGTATTCAGAGAGTAGTGGTCATGGATTCATACTCTGAATGGTCTAGGGTTGTCAGTGGTGTTGGGACCTTTACTTTTTAATATATTTATAAACGATATAGGGTCTGGGATTAGAAGTACAATTCAGTCTTTGCAGATGACACCAAGCTGTGTAGTGGAATAATGTCCTTACAGGATGTCTTCAACTTACAAGCCACCCTCAATGCACTGTTTATTGGCCAACTATGTGGCAAATGAGTTTTTAATGTTGATAAATGTAAGGTTATGCACTTGGGTGCTAAGAATATGCATGCATCATACATACTGGGGGGGGGGGGTACAACTGGGGGAATCAATGGTGGAGAAGGATCTGGGAGTTCTGGTAGATCATAAACTTAATAATAGCATCCAATGCAAGCTGTGGTTTCCAACTAAACTAATAAGAGGTATGGAGAAGCTCAGCTATGAGGAAAGATTAGAGGAACTGAATTAATTTTCTCTTGAGAAGAAGAGATTAATGGGGAATATGATCAACATTGATAAAGACATAGGTGGTCCATATAGTGAACTCGGTGTAGAGTTATTCACTTTCAGGTCATTACAGGGGACAGGGGGGCACTCCTTATGTCTGGAGGAAAAGAGATTTAACCTTCACATACGGAAAGGCTTCTTCACAGTAAAAGCTGTGACAATGTGGAATAGACTCCCTCAAGACCTGGTTCTGGTCAGCTCAGTAGATTGTTTCAAAAAAGGCCTGGATTCTTTCCTAAATACACATAATATAACTGGATACTAATATTTATAGGTAACGTTGATCCAAGGAATATCCATTTGCCTTTTGGGGTTTCAGGAAGGGATTTTTTCCCCTGCAGGAGCAAATTGGATTGTGCTTTATTGTTTTTTTTTTTTTCTGCTTCCTCTGGATCAACTGTGAGTATAGGATAGTGTATATGGAGGTTTGTTTTGTTTTTTTGGTTGAACTGGATGGGCTTGTGTCTTTTTTTCAACCAGAATAACTATGTAACTGTGATAGTTTAACAATACATGCAAACACATATAATTGATTTTAGACATATAATATGAACTATGACGTAATCAAATATATTTTTTAATGATAACTATTACTTTCTCGTCTCTGTATAATAAAAAAATATAGTAAATCTTTGCTTTATACGTAGTTATGTTGACTGTTTATATTATAAAGGTTGCTTTTTATGATTGATAACATTTTGGTAATTTTTGTGAAGGTTTAGAGAGCTACTTACATAGTGTATATTATTAATACTAATATTATTATTTTACCTTTTTTCTTATATATCGAATATAGTCTGTCAGACTGTCCTTCTGACTGTCATGTGAAGTTTAGATGTTTGATCACTTGAATTTAATGACTACTGTAAGAAATATTATGTACACAAAACACACACACACACACACATATATATATATATATATATATTCACAGTCGGGCGCTTCTGCTAACACCGCTTTCCCGTTGTTTGGAGGTTAAAGGATTCCAATCGAATTGTCAGGGTCCATCCAGATGCAGTGATATGCAGCTGGCTCTGGCCCTCAGCATATAGCTGAGAGCGTTAGTTAGCTGCTCTTGGCCCCTCCACAGCCCAGCACTCCCATGGGCGCTCAAGGGGCAGAGCAGTGAGCGGTGACTGACAGTCTCTGCTCTTTACTCAGAGAAGACTGGGAACTGAGCGATCAGCAGTCATGAGATTGCTCAGTTCTCCGTTTTACAGCCGGAAAGGGACAGCTGCAGCCATAGAGGTGAGTATGTATGTGTTCAAATCCAACACCTATTTATCTAGCTTTCCAATGGCTAAAAACAATAGTATAAAACGTTGAAGCCTGAAATGCATGCAAAAAACTTGAACAAATGTTCAAACAAAATGCTGGATAAATGACCAAAACTGCTCAGCTCAAGTGTGAATGGATCCTTAGAAGTATGTTTATTTAATAAATATATTGTCACTAACCAGTCCTTAGATGTGGTAGCTGCATTAGCTTTCTATTGACAGGCTGGTTTTCAAGTATTTTCACCTTGGGAAAAAGTCCTAGTCTCCTGCCAGCAATAGATTCTGTGGGACATTTCTGTGTAGCTCAGCAAGCT